GGACTTTCATTATTTGCTTTCGACGAAGCTTTCCTCTAACACACGCGTGCGTCGAGGTTATTAATCGCGTGTACTAGTTATTTTCAATTATTTGAATTTTTGACACACGTTACGTGAAGATAAGATCGGGTGCGTTATTACGCATTGTTTTCTTTTCTTTTGTTTTTTTTTTTTTTTTTTGTAATTTCTGGCTCGTGGGAAGAAGAGAATTTCTCGTGGTGAATAAAAGGTACAACGATCTCCCATATTAATTATGAAGAGTGTTGTATTATCCTCTTCCCCTTCATTTTACGCCTAAGGGAAGATCGGTGGAGTTCAAAACGAAGTTTTGACTCGCTTTTCTCACTTTAAACACGTTTTAAATATCAGACAACGTTTAAACAATTGGAATATTCGGAAATATCATTGAAAAATTTCCCCTTTATCACTTTTGTCGCTTTTACAACATTTTTAGCTCATTTTTATCACTTTCATCGCTTTTTAAATATTAGGAGGAATGTTCAAACGATCGGAATATTCAGAAATATCATTTGAAAATTCACTTTATCATTTTTAACACGCTTTTAACGTTTCCAACTCATTTTTATCAGTTTTGACTCACTTTCGTTACTTTCGACCACTTTTATCACTTTAAACGCCTTTTTAAATATTAGATAACGTTTAAACAATCGAAACATTCAAAAATATTTGAAAATTGACTTTTAAAATTTAGTCGACGTACAAACAACGAAAGTTCAGTTTATCACGTTGATTCGGACTATCAGTCTCTTTGGATAAGTCTGATAATTGGAATATTCTCTTTACACGCGTCGTTTCATTTCTCTCGAACATTGACTGTACGGTGTATTTAAATGTAAATTAACAATTAATCAGATAATAACTACTAGTTAATAATATCAGATAACATCTACTATGAAAGATTTAGAGATGAGCTTTCACTGTAACGTAACGATATAATTCATTATATTATTATATAATATTATATTATTATATTATTCTATTATGTTATATTACATAGTATAATACATTATTATATTATACTGTTATATACTGTTATATATTATATTGTTGTATAATACTATTATTGTTATATTATATAATATAATACGTTATTATATTATACTGTTATATATTATATTGCTATATAATACTATTATATTATTATATTATTCTATTATGTTATATTATATAATATAATACATTATTATATTTACTGTTATATACTGTTATATATTATATTGTTATATAATACTATTATATTATTAGATTATTCTATTATGTTATATTCTAATATATAATATAATACATTATTATATTATACTGTTATATACTGTTATATATTATATTGTTATATAATACTATTATATTTTTAGATTATTCTATTATGTTATATTCTAATATATAACATAATACATTATTATATTACACTGTTACATACTGTTATGTATTACATTGTTATATAATATATATTATATTATACTATGATGTTAACAGATATATTAATATCATAATATTGTTCCACAAACAGAACTTAATAGCACTATCAAACTTCACACTTACATGCGATTGAAATTGTATTGCAAGAGAAAAAAAAATTAAGGTAAAACTGAGGAAGAAAAATTTCGATTACCAGGAGACATTTACCCCCCCCCCCCCCTCCTCCTTCGAACAAAATCATTTCTGTCCTGCGGGGAAAGGTGAAGGTATTTTAGACGCTCGTGTTAGAAGAAAGATAACGACGGTTATGTTTATGTATACAGAATGTAGAAAGTGGACGCAGGTACGTTCAACAAGTCGTTAAACCTGTTGAACCAATTTTTTGTACGGGGACAAGTTTGTAATAAATAATCATTTCAGTTTCAAATGCTTCATCTTTTTTCTTTTTTTTTTTTTTTTTTGGAA